TTTTCGGGGCGATCCGGTTCCTTTTTCACTATTTCCGAGTCGAACCGGGCGAGTCCGGTTCGACTCGGCGTTTTTTAAAACGCTGAATAAAACAATTTGGATTTTGGGTTCTTTTAATATCTAGATCTTTGTTTACAAATAAATTGGACCGTACTTGAGTACGACATTATTTTTTTAGGCACTTTGACGTTTTTTGTTTTTCTTTTGTTTTTGTTTTTGAGATTGGTCAGAGTTACATAGATTATATCTCATAAATTTGGGATTCAAAAATATTTCTAAAATTAAATTTACCCAACGGAATAGATCGAGGGAGTAGGAAATAGGGTTGCCAATGGACATAGGACCCGATGGGTAGACCCGACCTCGGGTCTAAGCATGGGTCCATATTTTGGACCTGAAAGGTCAAGTTCGTATCCAGTCAGACCTGACCTGGATCTGACCCGAATAATATAAGTGTATTTGGGTATTTGTAAATGTTACCAATACGCTTGTTTCTTAGAAATTTCTAGTTATTACGTAAAATAGTATGGAACGTGGATATATGTGGGTATTCATAAATATTATGCAATACTAGGGTAGCAATGGAGGGTAAAAAAACGAGGCAAAAGACAAAAAACAAACAGACGCTCATTGTCATAGCCCACATGTCTCATGTAAACATTAAGTAGCAATGGACGCGACCTGACACGTAGGCCCGACCTCAGGTATGGGTCCAAATTCTAGACACAAAAGGTCGGGTGCGGGTCCATACTATAAGGGTCCGGGTCTGCGGGAGCCAACCTGTGGCCACCCCTAGATATCTTTAGGCTTTAAGAGTTATGTGTGGTTGTTATTGTTGAAAAGTTTCATTAAATTTCTTAAAGGAGCCGAAACTTAATGAATATTTTGACGAGATTTAAGCAAAGTTTCGCTAAAAAATGCAGGGGAAACAAGATGTGAAAAGGTGTGTCGGTTGTCAGTTTAGGGGATGCATATTTGTCTATGGAAGACACGGCTCATCAAAGTCAGCTAACCCTGGGGAGTGAGTGAGTGAGGGACCCCACTCTCCATTAATTTTTTCAGAAAATGTTAGAATATAGCTGAGGCCTTGTACAATTGGAACTCCTACTTCTGATGGAACAGCTCCATGAAAAGGAGCTTTTTCAAATATTACATTCTATAGATATTCTTTTTATGTTTTATTAAAGCAGTTCATCACTAATGATTCTTAGAATACAGATACTGGAGCCACATCTCAAAACCCCAGATTTAAATTTTTTTAAAAGTGAGATTACATACTTTAAGATATTCTTTTGCAGTTTGATTAAAGCAGCTCTTGACTAATGATTCTTAGATAAAGATACTGGACCCACATCTCAAAAGCCTGATTATGAAATTTAAATTTTTGAAAATGGAGCAAATCCATATTTGTAAGCACTAAGATATAGATGGTATGGGAAATGGTTCGTCAAATTATATTTTTTTGGAGCAATTTAGCTGTAGGAATCAAAGTTGAGATGTAGCATGGTTTGATATCAGCTGCTAACCTCTCAAGCCCAAAACCAATTCTTATAAGATAACTATTTTTAGAGTTTAAAATTCATTGTTTTCCAGTCCATGTATTGATGCGTTGGTTAATAAATTTGAATGTTTTTCAACATTGAACTATATTCTCTAAGGGGGCTTAAAGATATAGTTTCCATGTTTATTGAGTGAACAAATACATATTAAATGAAACAATGCTATTAAGGGTACTCTTGTTAGGGGAAAAACTAGTATTAGCATGTGGGGTGAGGTGATGAAAATAGTGTAAGCTGGATAGCTCAAATTCAATCTTGATGAATCTTAGGGCTAATATGTAGGGGAAGTAATCGATTTTTAGTTTTTTTTATATAGTAGTTGGACATAACATTTGGAGGGCATATTCACTTGACTTAGGCGCATTAGATTTATAAAAAATAATACAACAAATTAACTAAAGCACTCTTTCTAGTCTCAATGAATGCTAGCTGTCAAGGTCGGCTTTGGTGGTTCAATATGGGATTGTAAGCTGATATTGGTCCAGGTCCATTACCACATGCTACCAATGTGGCTCTCTTGGTTAGGTTTGGACTTGGGCTTCATTGGTTAAGGTGTCGACAATTGCAACTATACGTTCCAATTTAACTCCCACGGCCAAAATAGTCTATTATTTTCTTTTAAAAATGAAGAAAAAGAAAAAAGAAAACCTCAAATTATCAGTTTAAAGCAAGCACAATAGAAAGACT